GGCCAGCGTGGTGGACTCGGATGGAAGGCGCCTGACGCGTGGCTCTGGCTTCTGATTGGTCAATAAAGCCTGTTCTGTTGCACCAATCTTTTTCCTATTAGGGCTCGGGTATTCTACAGTGACGTCGGATTAGGGCGCAGACATGTTGGACCACCTGGCCTCAGCCAATCCCGTGTCTCTCTGTGTTCCAATGGCATGCGGTAAAGGAAGGCAGCCAACCAGAGAAGGACATGGATGAGATGCAGTATATAATAAGCGGCGTGGCCAGCGTGGTGGACTCGGATGGAAGGCTCCTGACGCGTCTCTCTGGCTTCTGATTGGTCAAGCCAGAGCCATACGTCACGCGCCGTCGATCCGAATCTGTCACGCTGCTCATTATATTCTGCTGCTCATTCTTTATCCCTCTGTGTTTGTACAACCTGCAAGGACAATCTTGAGCTATCTAAAGAAAAGGACAAATGAGAAGCTCTCTATTAGTAGAGGCGAAGACTAAAGGGGGCACGGATCAAGCATCAGACACATTTCACTTTGCTTGACCTTTACGTTTTCTTGGGTATTGTGTCTTCATGTAGAAATATTGGGAGCAACAGCTAACAGCAAACATAAGTGTTTCAATCCTACTAATATTATGAAAGCTGCATATAATAAGGTGGAAGTAAGATGGAATGGCTTAAGTATGGATTTGTCAATAAATCCCATATTATTAAACCAGTTTTAACTGTATGGGTGATAAGGAAAAAGTATATTAGAAGGCACTAGCAATGACATTCAGATTAAATATTACATGAAGTCAAAAATTGTGCTCAGATAGATTATTGCTGCCAAACCATCTAACATTAAATTAACTTCACAAGAGAAATTTTAAAGGAACACAGTTGAAAGTGGTTGGTACCAAGCAAAATATTTCGAGACAAAATCAATTAGTCAGATCAACACAAAAACCAAATATGGCTAAATCCAACTCAGTGTCAGAATTCTAGTTCCGTCAAGACCCTGTGCTGCCAGTGCTTATGTATTCTTATAATTTCCTTGTCACTCTGCTGCAGACGCTTTGCCAATGCAAGCGGATTTTTTGATTATCTAAGGGTTATTTCTTTAAGTTCGTAAATTCCTTTGGTGTGGATTTTTATGAGGGTAGACATGGAGATGTTAGCTAATTCAATATAATTGATTTTGAATCGCCTTCCAAAACAGCACAATGACTTTTAGCTGATCTCTGCCAAATAACATCCTAAAACATCTATATTTTGGTCTGATGAAGCCTGCAAAGGCAATGGATGACACTCCACTATTAGCAATTCTATCACAAACCGCCTGAAAAACCACATGAAACAATAAGGCGTACGGTTTTGATTGGCTCTACAGTATCTTTTTAACGATTCATCTTAAAGATAAAGGTAGGATATTGACTTTACCTGAAGTAATCCCGATATCATCATTTGGCTCTTAGTGGTGTATAGTGACCCAGGATTATTTGCTTGGTAGACTTTTTAACAAATTCTTTTAGGCTTTTCAAACATAATTTTTTACGCTTATATCCAGGCGTACGCTTTGCTTAAGTACGTCTAGTTTGGTAGAGCTGTTAAAAATTTCACGCCAGGTCCTGGAAGAACAATAAAATCACACATATTCTGCTTTTTTTACTTTAACATCATTTTGCCTAATTGAAGGCATTGTGCATTGTTCG